CAAAGAAATTACAGAAGGCTTCTTTCTGTCATCCAAAAGTTAGCTAAGATTCAGGAAGATAACACCTCCTTGGTCATAAAACTGTTTATGACCCTCCAAGAGTGTTTATATGTATTTTAAAAGGCAGTTTTCCTAACTTTAGTTTGTTTTATCTTTTATACTATTTGATTTTGTGCTATGTTTAAAAGATGTATTGGTTACTGAAATCTGCTTTGTACAAAATATATAATAAAAGTTCAATTGCTGTAACAAACAGATTGTAACTCTAAGGACCCTGGGTCAAATAAAGAAAATAAGTGTATTTTTCTAGACCCAGGACTTTTCCATCTTGTATAAGATACCAGTTTGGTACAGATATAATCCTTTATATAAAGCAAAAATACCATAGGTGAAATGTGTTAAAGTAAAAAATTATCAATTTCTATAATAGTATTAATAACACAGATTAATGCACAAGTCTCTAGGTCAAGAACCAATGTAATCTTTAAATGTAATGTGATTTTTTTACCTGTAGAGTACATTTATCACCCTGAATTTTCTACTAAAACAGAATCTTTTTCAGAGGTATTTCAGCAAAAGAATATGGTCTAATATGCAATTTGCATAGCTTCTATAAAGTATACATTTTGAGATGTTCTGGCATGTATTTCACAAACCTGCAAATGGAGTTATTGAAATCCTGATCCAGCAATGTACCAGAGAACATACTTAATTACTTCACTGGGACCACTCATGTATTTAATGCAATGTTAAGCACATCTCTTGCTGAATCAAGGCCTAATTGATAGAAAAATCACGAACCTTCAAGATCCTGAGCTTGTACTATGTAAGAACATAAGAACATAAGAACGACCGTACTGGGTCAGACCAAAGGTCCATCTAGCCCAGTATCCTATCTACCAACAGTGGCCAATGCCAGGTGCCCAAGAGGGAGTGAACCTAACAGGTAACCATCAAGTGATCTCTCTCCTGCCATCCATCTCCACCCTCTGACAAATAGAGTCTAGGGACACCATTCCTTACTCCTGATAGCCATTAATGGACTTAACCTCCATGAATTTATCCAGTTCTCTTTTAAATGCTGTTATAGTCCTAGCCTTCACAACCTCCTCAGGTAAAGAGTTCCACAAGTTGACTGTGCGCTGTGTGAAGAAGAACTTCCTTTTATTTGTTTTAAACCTGATGCCTATTAATTTCATTTGGTGACCCCTAGTTCTTGTATTATGGGAATAAGTAAATAACTTTTCCTTATTTACTTTCTCCACATCACTCATGATTTTATATACTATGAGGTACTGAGAGCCCTCAGTTCAACTGACAGTAATCTGAGATGAGGGCATGTAGCATCACTAGAAAAGATAGTCTGTAAAAAACTGAGAATCTGTACACATATATGTAGGAATTGGCCCAGCTCTTGCATTTTCAGTCTATGGTTCCTGCTGTGCTGAAGTACAGTATCTAAATGATGAATACTGTTGCTAATAAAATGGGCCCAATCCTGCTTTTTCTGCTTGTGGGTCAAACTCCCAGTGAAAGCCAGATGCACAAAGGATGCAGGATTGAGCCCAACTGTGATACTGATGAGTCCCCATTAGCCAATAACACTACTCAGGATTTTAGTAACTATTACTCCCACTTATATGTTGGTGTGGGTGTGGATGGCAAATACCTTAGACCATGCATTGAAAATGTCACTCCAGTTTGATCATGGCTGTGGATTTATTCCCTTTCCCCACCAGCGATTATTTGTTTTTGTTTGCTTTATAAATAATTTAACAGCTTTCACAAACTCTCATAACAGCTTCCTTTTGTTATCACTTCTACTATTGCTGTCTACAAGTCCTTGTAATAAAAATTTAAAAGGTTTTAGATTTTAATTATTCTATATTAATCACAGAGAAAAATATTAACTACAGCCATAGTGTATCCGGATATTATAATACAAAGTCAATATACAGATTTGTAATTACCTTTGTAATTAATGTGAAACTATACAGTACAAAGAACAGGAGTACTTGTGGTACCTTAGAGACTAAGAAATTTATTTGGGCATAAGCTTTCGTGGGCTAAAGCCCACTTCATCAGATGCATGATTGTTAGTCTCTAAGGTGCCACAAGTACTCCTCCTTCTTTTTGCTGATACAGACTAACACGGCTACCACTCTGAAACCTACACAGTGCAAAACCTCATCAATTTAAAAATATTTAAATGCCTTTGGTTCATTATGTTTTCCTTGGCTGGCATAGCCTGAGGAGAAATTTAGATGTTGAGGCTTTGTAATGCAGTATTCCTGTTGTACTAATTGCAGTACAGCACTAGCACCCAACGGGCGGGCGGAAAACCAAAAGGGAAAAACTATTTCCAAATCAACGAGTCCAATTGTGGTTACATCTTATCAGATAAGATTGCTCCTGGAGACCTGATCCCATTCCCATTGAATCTGATTCATGTTCAAATTGGAGTGACAGCCCTACTGACTGCCACGGTGCACGATCAGGCTCACAGAGCATTTTATATATGAGAACTGTACAATAAACAGTATGAAACAAAATGGGGAACTGAAACAACGCACACCTAAATGCAAAAATCTAGACACTGACTAGGTCGCCACATCCATTACATATTAGGGGCCTAGATATCAACTACGTATTAAAAGATACTGCAACTCTTACTCACACAAGTAGTTCTTATAGAAGGCCCTGTTTAGCTATTAATAATATTTTTATCTCTTCTACTGTTGACGACAATGAATGTTCACACCCATGATACACAGGAATAGACCGTTCTATCCTTGCACTCCCTGTGTTTTATTTTTTCGGAGTGAATTTTCACTCCTCTTTCCTGTCCAAAAGTGTAATGCCAGCCAGTCAGCACTCAGGTCATTTCTCAGTGACCTGAAACCAGAGTATCACCCCCAATCCGTCTGCAGACTCAGATGTGGGGGGCTTTGTCTTGGCTAGCAAGGGAAGAAAACACTTGGCCCCTTTAAGAATTGTAACCCTCCTTTCCCTGTCTTGGGGGGCTGTGTGCTGTGGCTGATTTGTTGGACAGAAAGTTGCAGCATAAGCCTATTGGCTCCTGTGCACCCAACCGGAACACCTGTAAGTAAGGCTTTAAGAAAGCTGTGATTGTTTGGTTCAAAAGTTGGTTTTGGTGCAGCAGGCCTGGCCCATGCTACCTGGTGGAGGCAGAAAAAAAGTTTAACTACCTGTAACTGTTGTTCTTTGAGATGTGATGCAGCGGCCCCATGCACCAGAGAACTTTGCCTAGCCCCTGTCCCTGGCCATATAAGGGCTGAGCTACTCTGACCACCTCAGTTCCTTTGTACCGAATGTCAGAAGAACAGACTCTGATACAGAGGGGACAGAGGGTGGGCTGTGGAACCCATGTCTGCATCATATAATGAAGAACAACAGATACTAGTAGGTAAGCATTTTTTCTTCCTCTAGGAGATGCAGCCTTGTATTCCATGCAGATGGCTTCCATGCAAGTACTCGCAGGAGGTGAGGCTCTGAGTCCATTTAAAGAAGGACTGAAGGATTGCCTTCCCAAATTTCCATCTGATCTGGATGCAGCTGTAATGGCGTAATGGTTTGCAAAGTATGCACATGGGTCCAAAAGGTCGCCCTCCAAATCTCTAATATAGGAATGTCACTTAGAAATGCCATTGACATTGCCTGAGATTTTGTGGAATGAGCTCATACTGCTGGAGAAGGTGTAGCCTGGGCTACTTCATATGCTATCATGATACTGGATATTATAATACAAAGGCAATATACAGATTTGTAATTACCTTTGTCTGTGAAGAGGCTGCTTGCCCCTTCATTCAGTCCACATATGAAACAAATAGACAAAATGAGGAATGGAAAGGTTTAGTTCTATCCAGATAAAAAGCAAGATCAATTTAGAAAACAGATGTCGTTAAAGCAGTATAACCCCCTACTCTGGACACAGTTATACCATTATAAAGGTGCTTCCACTGGTATAACTTATTTTGGTAAGTGTAAGTTTAATTGTCTAATCTGTTAGAGTTTAGCTACCCAGGAAATTACTGTGCAGAAAGCCACGGTGTGAATCTACAACGCTCATGCAGTCCCATGCTAATATTGCTACAGTATAGTGAAAATTCCCAAGTGCAGCTTGGAATAACACTTGAAAGCTTTGTACACCAAGCCGCACCGTGGGACTTTACCTGTGCTGTAACAGAGTCAACACAGGATCATGCTGCACAGCAAGCTGGTGAGCTGTAGAACCACATCCTGGCTTGGCACATGGTAACTTGCCATGTAGACAGGCCCTTATAGTTAAAGTGGTACAAAACCTGTGTATAAAACAGCGCTTTCATCTGACAAGCATCCAGTAGGCTGCTCCCCTCCAAACTGTCTCACAGAAAAAGGACTTACAAGCTAAGATCCCATGGGAACCTTTAGAGATGACACTGAACCCAATAAGAGCTCCAGAATCCATAGAGTCAGAATTACCACACCTTGGACAGTCTCTCGCTTCATCAAAGGGTTATACAAGGAAGAGTGGTGAGAATTCACTTCAAGACAGTTAAAAACTTTAGTTTGATTAAAATAAGTATCTTAAAAGTTAACTTGCAGGATCGTTGCTAATTCTTGTGAGACCTTAGGAAGCTGGAATCTAATTTGCTACATTATCTCTAAAATCAGTTGGCATCCGCTGTATTTGTAAATTCCCCTCCCTCCTTCATGCTTACATTCACATCATTTAGATGTGTTATACTTTCTACCCTCATACACAACATTACAAAAACACACTTTACATGGCCGCTGGGAAGAAGTTGATGCAAATTATGTTAACTGATGAAGGTGGGGGTGGGAACGTGGTTTGGATGAGTTTCCTCTGCTCTTCCATTTGATAAGCAAGCTTTGCACATAAAATGTTGGTTTGTATAGCACACAGGCTGCTGAACTATTAAAACTAGAAGGAGCTGGCAGCTAGGAGACACACATGAGGACAGGAAGCTAACCTTTACCTCAAATCAGCAACAGAATGCCTTCTCTTTTTCTTGTCTTCCATATCCAATTTCTTTTCACTGTGCCCCGTTTGGTCATCTAATTCCCATGATATCCTTCTTTCTCTTTTGCCATCATTTTTGCAGATCTCTAAGGACTTTGACCTTTCCATAGTCATAACATGCAGGCATGCAAAATTAAATGTAGACAACTCAAATTGAAAATAATGAACTACAGATGCTAACTCTAGATTCACCTGATGAAACACTTTTCAACATTAAATTAAAATGACTTTAAATTTCAGTAAGAAACACTTTTTGAATGACTACAGTAACCAACTGTAAGTTACATCTGAAAAGGAATTATGGGTTATTTAATTTTAAAGATTTCATACCATAGGATCTGATTCATTATTAGTATGTGAGAAAGAGGAAAGTCTGAAAAAGTGATACAGTTTGTTCTAAAAATATTAATAATTAAGTAGTAAGTGTCTGATCCTGCAACGTTTACTCATGTGACTGGTCTCATTGACTTCATTGAGCTTATATGCACAAGGAACATTCACATGAATAAGGACCTGACTCTGCAAAGACTTGTGCATGTGAATAACTTTAATCATGGGAGCAGTCTCACTAAAATGAATAGGTTTGCTAACCTCAGGAAAGTTAGTCATGTGCGCAAATTCTTGTAGGATTGGGCTCAAAGAGTTGAAGAGGGTAAAAGGGTGATAATTATAGATAATATCACAAAATTCAGTCTAATCATAATGTCCGATCCTGCAATTCTGGCATGAAATCCTGCCCTGCTCAAGTCAGTGGAGCAAGAATTTTCCTCTGATACCTCCCACTAATTTTAATGAGAGTTTCAGGAGTGCAAGATACTGAAGATCTGATTCTCAGTTTGGAAGAATAGCAGTTCAGATTAAGAATATTTTTTTCAAACGCTTTTAAAAAAATTCTATATTTTTTACTGAACAACACTATAATTATAGTTGCCTTATAATGATTTTATGTTTTGCTCATTGTACTATAATATAAGAAGAGACCAGTTCTGGGTGAAGCCTGGACAAGGAAGGCTCCATCTCCCTGCCGTACCCAAAGGAACTTGGGCATGGTCAGAGGTCAATATTTCCTGGATCACTATGAAGGACTAGTGCTTATATTATGGACTTTAACACCAGGTAGCTATTTTGAGTTGAGATTTGTTTTTGGTTAGCCCCACAAGGGGACTGGCCGGCATGCTATGCCAGAGAAGGAGCAGACCATTATAGAACCAAAACACAGGAGGGTTACTAGAGAGGAAGAATCCCTGCAATGGCACTTCCTGACATGAAAGGGGGAGCTAAAGGTGAACGCACACCATAATGCTCCCAGTGATTTCAGTGCAGCTGGATCAAACCCCGTAGTGAGGAGCTCTATGGAAGTTGGAAATGCAGTGTTTGCAAGATATTTTAGACTTTATTAATTTTTTCAACTGAAAATAGATCTTAACTAATCAATACCACAACATGTTGGCTATAATTTTTGAGATACAGAAATAATATTCTTATTCACATGCCCTATAGCTTCACAGGCATAACCAGCCAGGACTGTGCTCCTTCATTTGAATTAGGAAAGGAAAACATTAACATGTAAATAATGAAAACAATAATATTAACATAATAATTTATTCCTCAGACAATTTCTGGTTATATACCAGTGTTTACATCAAAAGGGTTTAGTTTAAAAATAATCTCAGGTTCAGATTCAAATCATGCTCAGTATAGCATGAACCTGTCCTATACACCTCCACCCTGATATAACGTTGTCCTCGGGAGCCAAAATACCTTACTGCGTTATTGGTGAAACCGCGTTATATCAAACTTGCTTTGATCTACCAGAGTGCACAGCCCCATCCACCCGGAGCGCTGCTTTACTGCGTTATATCTGAATTCGTGTTATATCGGGTTGCATTATATCGGGGTAGAGTTGTAATTCCTATTGTACCAAAAGGTGTATTCATATCCCATTGATACACTTGTTGTTCAGAAATCTAAAAGAGACACTGACTGAAAGTAAATATAAGGAAGCCAAATTTATTCCTCATTTAGGGCCACATTCTACTACCCTATGTTGAATAGTACCTTGCACCCCAAGTAGTATCAAATAGTTAAATCTGGCTCTTAAAATCACAGATTTACAAAAAAGGTAATCAGATTTTAAAAAATCTACTGTGAAAGAAAACCAGCTTCTGGAAGTAAAAATTAGTCTCCTTAAACAGATCCAATCTCCACTCATATTATGTAAGCAAAAAGTCACAATGGAGTCAATGGACTCCAGTGAAATTACTTGCACGAGAAAGGTGAGCAGAATTTAGCCCCACCCCCAGGAGAAGCTGGGGAAAACTAAAGGTTTGTTTTCCAAAGTGCTCTAGCACTTGTAGTTATAAAAATACTACAAAGAGATCTGTGTTTGAAAAAAATCGAATAAAATGAAAGGAAACAGAACCGCTGATTAGGTTGCCATATGAACTCCGCAAAGTGGAAACCTAACAACTGAAAGAATTTAGCAATACTTCTGGACAAGTCCTATTTGTATAGTAATGAGATTAAATTATGGCCAAAACACAGCAAAGCAGATTACTGATGCTTAAGACTACACAGCTACATCTAAAATCCTCCCTATCTGCAGGGGGCAGTGTGCGTTTGCACGTGCCCACATGCACATGGACACTCACAACAAAGACACACTGAGAGAAAAAGCTAACCAAACATATTGATTTATTGGTAAAATAAGGAGGTAAATCTGCCAACATTTAATGATTTTTAATTTGCGTTTCGATTGTTTTTTTGTGCAAAATTAAATCATTTTATGGAACATGCAAAGTGCAGCAACAGTACTATGGGCAGCAAACTGACATATTACCATTTATATGCACTCTGAAGAACAATTTTTTTCCTTTACACAACCTCAAGAAACAGCCCTTCACTTATGTAGTTGTTTGATGGCCATGTAATTTCCCTTTAAACTATAGCTAGTTGACTTTCCCCTCTAATAACCCTGATCCTGTTAGGTAGACAGTTCTCTCAGCTGCCTTTGATCTTAATAGAAATAGGCCCTTTGGCCATGATATTGCACAGAGGGCGGTATGGGCATCTGGGCAGCATCAAGACCTCTGTGGCAACACAAACTAAGGAATTAGGCCCCAGTCCACCATAGCGTTTAAGCACATGTGCAACTTTAAGCATGTAAGTAGTGCCACTTCAGTGCTTTGCTGGATCAGAGCTTTAAAGTACTAATTTCCAACTTGCTCCAAGTTTGGGTTTCTCCTTGCACAAATATAAAAATTTGTTGTTGCCCTGTCTGAATTTTTTATTTACCTGTTTAAATGGCTGGATGCCAAGGTGGAAAAATATGTTCATTTCACAAAAGACTTAGGATGATCACGTGTATGTTTATGTGTGTGTGTTTATATATATATATATATATGATATTTTAAATATATTCTATTATATAGATCATAAATATTTATATTTCTTGTTTTATTTTTATTCTTATATTTTATTTTTACACTAAACAAGAAAATGTTATACATTTAAAATAGCATCATAAACTCACCTGATTCTGCCCCTAGGGCGCTCAGATTGCTCTGACATAAAGCTTGTGCTGCTGAGGCGTGAGGCACTGCTGGTACGGGAAATGGCTGACACATCACTCACATCACTATCTGATGATTTGGCAGAGACGTTATCACAACTTCTGTACTGATCTGTTTGTATGTTATACTAAAGATTAAAAAAAGAAAGTGTGAGGTTTCTTTTCAAAATGTGAAATATAGTAGACAACAAATGATGAGGACAATTCTTTTAAACTCCTGAAATAGCCAACAAAGTCCCAAAAACTTCAGAAAAGTGCATATATTTATAATAATGTCTTGAAAAAACTGAAAATACTATAGGTTACTTCAAGCAGATGGGCTCCGTCTGTATGGCTGAGATGAAAAAACTAAACTGTGATGCACGGAACACTAGAATATTATTTTCTTGTTATTTAGTGCACCAAATTATGATTTGTACAAATAAAATGTTTTATTTACCTCTAGAAATTTCTGTGGTGTCTGTGAAACTGTCTAGGGGCTCTTTTGAAGTTTCTATATGTGCCAAAGATGGATACATTGGAATGTATCAAAAGAAGATTATGGATTGACAAATCCATCCTCACTAATAATTAGTAAGTGGTAAATTACTTGATATCTGAATCCTTAACCTTACTCTGAGAAAAGGTACTTGAATAAATTGGAAAGTCCATTGGTTGAGCACAGTAGCTAAAAGAATGTAACACATACATACCAATGTCATTTTGTGATCTACTTATTTATTATTTTGAGAAAACTCAGGCAAGAAAAATAGTGTTTAAAATGATATTGAAGATATTTGATCAAAGAATGCTAATGGAAGATGAAGCCTCTTTTAGGCTCTGAATCAGAATTTTCATGTTGCTCCATCTACTTTATGTTAAAAATATCACCCTCTTCTGATTGTCAGACCTAATCTGACTTTATGGGAAAGCAATGAAGAAATTTCCACCCAATAAACCCCTTGCCTGCTTTTCATTATGTGGTTTTACCAAAGTAGGACTTCCTTTTTAAAAACTACAACATGGCACATCCACAGGGTTTCAGTCAAGTTTGAAAATCCAATCTGTTGAGCTCAGGGCACTTCAGGATGTCGTTTTTTAGATTTCTGATAGAAATTCATGGTGTTGGGCGGGGGTGGGGATGGCCAGCTCAGTTTGTGGAGTGACTTTGTAGTTTCTGCTTTTAGATGTCAAAAGCATCATGGTGGGTGACAGACACTGTCTGTGTGGGCTGTAAATAGCTCATGCACTAAATGCACCTTCTCCTGTACATTTGTGGGTATTGGAAAAAGAGGACTCAGAGTTGCAAGAGTAAACAGGAATCCAGAATGCAAGGCTGAAGGAAACTCCTCCCCCTCATTCTCTGTCAATCACATACAAATCTGCTGGTAAGAAAGGGAAGGAAGAATAGATAATAATTTGTTGCTTGTAGCCTCTGTGATACAAGATAGACTTCTTAAATATATTTGTATCATATTTCTCAGATGCTTTATAACACTACTGCACTAGAATCAGATTGTCCAATGAATCCGATGACAATCAGGATGAGTCATTTTCACCAATATTCAATTGTACTGCACACATCCTGAGTGTTGCTAAGGACCAGCAACTCCAAAAGGTATCAATGGAAGTTGCAAGTCCTTAGTACTTTTCAAGATTAGACCCTATGTATTTTAAACCCATGTGCCTCATATTAAGCGCTTACTGGTGTTATACTGTATAAGGAACTGGTAACTGCTTGAGGATTTTAGTGATTGAATTTCCTTTGCCTTATGCTGATTTCTTCCATTTGAAAATTTGAAGTCTGTTATTAGGCTCTTGTTCTTCAATAATCTGTGATCTACACTATGCATGTGTGTATATATGTATAAACAGACATGTACACATTCTCAAGTATGTGCACATATGCATACACATTCTTATACAAACTAATTGACTATCTACAACTTTCCAAATGCCATATCTGTGAAATACCTTTAGAGAGCCAACTCATAACAGCAAAGTTGTATACAGGCATACAGTTAGAACTACAGAAATCTAGCATTGAGGGATGACTTCAAAAATTGCGGATTGCCCCCCCCCCACCACCTTAGCATGCCATATTTTACTTTTATATTCTTTTTGTTTTGATTGTGAAGAGAGAAGTGAAAATAAATCTCTGATTTTCTTTCAGTCATACAAGTATTTGCCTATCAGTAACATTAGTTAGAGTATAAAAATAAAATAATAGAATCATAGGGTTAGAAGGAACCACAAGGGTCATCTAGTCTAAGCCCAGGATGCAGGATTTGTTGTGTTTAAACCATCCAAGACAGATGGCTATCCAGCCTCCTTTTGAAAACTTTCAGTGAAGGAGCTTCCACAACCTCCGTAGGCATCTGTTCCATTGTCCTACTGTCCTTATAGTTAGGAAGTTTTTCCTGAGAGTTAATCTAAATCTGCTATGCTGTAGTTTGAACCCATTGCCTCTTGTCCTGCTCTCTGTGGCAAAAGAGAACAACTTTTCACCATATTTTTTATGGCAGCCTTTCAAGTATCTGAAGACCACTATCATGTCCCCCCTTAATCTCCTCTTTTCCAAACTAAACATACCCAGTTCCTTCAGCCTTTGCTAATATGGTTTGCATTCCATCCCTTTGATCATTTCTGTCACTCAACTCTGGATCCTTTCCAGTTTCTCCACATCCTTTCTATACATTGGTGACCAAAATCAGACACAGTACTCCAGCTGAGGCCTAATCAGTGCTGAGTAGAGCAGTACTGTCACCTGCCGTGATTTGCATGCTATACTGCTGTTAATGCAACTGAAAATTGCTTTTGCTTTTTTTGCAACAGCATCACATTGCTGACTCATGTTGAAGCTGTGATCTATCACAAATCTCAGATCTTTTTCAGCAGTGCTGCTGCTAAGCCATTTCCCCCCATTCTGTATTTGTGCATTTGGTTTTTCTTCCCTAAGTGAAGCACCTTACATTTGTCTTGGTTGAATTTCATTTTGTTGTCTATAGCACAGTTCTCCAATTTATTGAGATCCCTCTGAATTTTAGCTCTATCCTCCAAAGTATTGGCAACGCTCTCCCCCAGCTTTGTGTCATCCAAAAACTTGATCTGTATGCTTTCTGTATCTACATCCAGGTCATTAATAAAGATGTTCAACAGCACCTGACCCAAAAATAAAATGTGTTACAGCTAAAGGTTTTTATCCTGTGCTTGTAATGTCAGAGCTTTCTGAATTTTCACTACTGTGAACCAATCCTGTTTGCAAACCAATTTATGAATCAAACACTGAAGGGTTCATACTGACCACTGTGTGATCTAGGGACAGCTACATAATTGCTTGGGAATTTCAGTCTATAATTGGAGTTTGTGAGAAGGGTGTTGGTGGTTTGTGTAAAAACAGCTGAGAGAGAGTGTGTGAATTCCTGCAAATGAAAAAGGACAGAAAAAGCACTGGGTTGGGAAAGGTGAATTTTCAGCTCCATTCTGTAGTGAAACCAGCAAGGCCCTGAGCGGAAACATGGGAAGAGATGAGTAATAGCTTGGAGCACAAAGAATCACACAACATTAAATACCATTACATTTTCCTCCCATCACGCTCACATTTGCAGAAGCTCAATGCAATAAGTTGTGGGAATGAATTCTCTTCTTACTGTAGTTAAATGTAACACTCACGGAGGCTCAAAAATTGGACAACTGCCCCCCCACTCCCCCAATCCAATTTCTGTTACAAACTTAGGTCCTCAGCCTGCTCTTATTGATATTCATGGCAAAACTCCCATAGAATGTAACAGGTACCATCTAAAAAGTATAGAGTGCCCTAATCTTCCTGACTTCAACTGAAAGTGAAACCTTGACCCTATTTAAATAAATGGCAAAATTCCCATTGACTTCAATGGAGCTAGAATTTCACCCTGCATGTGTGTTTAAGCCAAAGCAAGGAGTGATTTCCCAACAGGCAATGCTATAAAATTTTTTGTTTAAAATATAAATGTAAATTCTCACTCCAATCCAAGGATTTATACTCTTAGTATCTTCAATAGGATAAATAGCCCACAAGTGCCTTTTACAATTTTCTCAAAGCAATCCTACCAGTGTAGGAGTGGCAAATCTGTTCTCTCAATCATGATTTTTCTGCCCAGGATTGAACTTTGAGGAGCAAATAAAGTTTAAAGTTAGTAAGTTCTTTTTCATGTCCTTTGAAAACTTTTGTAACTAGCTACAATGTGACAGTGGATCCCTTATGCAAACTGAAACTTTGATTTCTGTTCAATAGGGAGACTGGTGTCTTCTCTAGACTGATGGAATAGGAAACCCAGGTTGAGACATTTGATGAGTTATCACTAGCACAACAACCGTCCCCTGTCTTTCTGCTTTTCACTTGGATGAGAGTCTTGCTTCTGCCTGATACCAGATAAGTTTTCCATAGTTCCCAACACATATTCTTAGTCTAGCTGCTCAGTGACCACTGATACCCCACACTGCTCATCCAAAGTCTCTCAATGTGTTTTGAACATAATAAGTCTCTTTTATTCCATGTTTCCATATAGTAAAGAGCAGCAGGATCTCAGGAGTGGCTCAACTGTGTTGGTTTCCTGGACTGCAACACCTTTATTGTACTTTGTGCACATCACTGGAATGTTGTGGTCACGTATCTTTTCTCAACCTTGGGATTTGTCCATCTTTCCTCTTTTGCCATGTATGCTTCTCTCTTAATATACACTGACTACATTCCTTTCTTTGCTTTGTTAACAGTAGTCCTAAGGAATCTCAGTGTTGCATGATTATGTAGGTATACAGTGGCCAGGGCTGGATGGAATGTCAGACCAGCTGAAGTGTGGTACTTGTTGCCTCCTAGTGACTGCCCTACAAAAAAGGTGTAAATACTGCTACTGACATTAATAAGGATCCTCTACTATTCCCAAGTGAGAGAGGCCTGCATTTTAAAGCAGACGGTTCTATTCCTTATGCTGCATGGACATAGTTTAAATAAATACGGATTTATTAGAACACATACAGCCAAAAATATCCCCCCAATACTCATGCCCCACCAGAGGAAATCATAAGCCATTTTAGAAAACACTCTGCCCAAGAATGATTAGCTTCTACGTGAGATACTCTCTGCACTATGGAAGCCCCCTTAAATGGAGCT